AGTAATGTCAATATTAATTGTATTGATCTGGAATCATTCTTAGATTTTGTTCAAATCCTGACACCGGAGGAAGGGGTTTTCAATAGGCAATCAAATTCTTACATAGAAATATAAAAGAAACACATCAAAAATCCTCTCAAGAACGGTAAAGGCATGAGTCACCTGCATATGGGATTTATGTCTCTCAGTTGATTCGATACACAAGAGCATGCTCTACGTATGAACAATTTCTAAAACGAGGCAAGATATTGACAAACATGTTGATGAAATTAGGATATTAACAGTCTCGTTTGAAGTCATCTTTTCACAAGTTTTACGGTCGATACAATGACCTTGTCATCACATACAACCTAGCATTGAGTCAAATGCTGACTGACGTTTTTCATACTAATTGTAAGACCATTATTTATACACTGAACTTTCTAAGGATTTTTCCGGGTTTTATTCCCGATCATTACAAGGAGCACACGGCGGGTGTGACCGGTCGACAGGGGATGCTCACACCTCCATGGCACCTGATCCCACCTCTAAATTTTGAGGTCCAAATTTGTATCATTTCCTTAGACTTTCGAGATTGAATACTGTTCGTTATTTTCATATTTCATTGTATAAATATAGAAGTAGTATAGATTCAGGTAGTATAGATTCAGTTTATTTCAAATTCTGGTCCTGGGGGTGAGGAGAATCCACAATAGAGGATCAGAGTTTTACATAGGTATATATAGGGGAATCTGCTGACAGAGAACTGTAAAGCCAAGTAGTGACTAGGTTAAGAGTTGTGGCCCATGGGCTTTTTGTCTTTCACTCTTGTAGAGATTACACAAAAAATTCTTTGCACTTTATAATATTGTCACTTCTTCCTTAGAAAATATAGAAATCACATGAAATCTTAAGTGTATTACTGAATCAACTTGCCTGTTTTTCAAGCAAAGTAGATGAGTTTTACAGATAAGTGTTTAAAGAGCTAAGGAAGGAAGTCTGCAAATATATTTTACTTAGAGAAAAATACGCATTTTGTTTAATATCACGTGACTCTTGCACAACAACTCTATCGACGGCCACGAAAGGGTAGGTTATTTAATGACTTGTCTAACGTGGAAAAAATATACAGAAACAATCTTAATTATATATGGTTTATATATATTGATATTTTGAATTTATTTAATTTGCAGATACAGTTGTGAAAAAATATATGCTACACATAGATTATATGCATCCTTTTGATCGACCAGGATTTCACTTGATGTAAGATCCATCTCACTTGTTGGCCTGGGAAACTGAGAGCTTTTTATTCGAGATGGAGGGTTGGCTGTAAAGAGGTTTGTTATTATACAATCAATTACCCCTTATGAGGTCAACATGGTGAAATAAGGACCCGAGACTTGACCTGACCTGCGCGGCCTCGGTCAGGTCAGGTCAGCGAGTGGGCCAGGTCTCGGGTCCTTATTTCACCATGTTGAACTCATAAGGAGTAATCAATTGCTTTATTATACCGATATAAGTTAAGACAATTTTTGTAGGCGACCTACGAACTGTTATTATCAGTGTTTCATCGGGATCGGGATTCGCTAGTGAAGTTGTTTACTTTTCGCCTGCAAGTCTTGTAAGTTTTTGCACCGCCGATTTATGAAAACACTCTGTGATTGTCAGTAACATGCATTTTTATAAATTCACAAATACCATTCCCGAGTACAATGACAATCAGGTTTATACTTTTACTGTACAAAAGAGCCAAGTCTGCATTCGTTGAATTTGACATTCATTGTAACGAAAGTTTCAATGAAAACGATAAATTTTTTGACGCATCAAAAGGACAATCGTATTTCGTATCATAAAAAGACTATGCATATTTTTTTAACGGCATTTTTTTTTTTTTTTTTTTTTTTTTTTTTTTTTTTTTGTAGTGAACAGTCATTACTTTATGCATTAATTTTTAAATTTGAATGGAATTTAGATTAACAGGTCATTTTTAGCGGTCATTATTTATAATGACCAGGTCATTATACCCCACGTGCAATGATTCCTAGGTCATTATTGCTGTAAATAGTACTTTTTGGAGTCATTATTGAGTGTAAAAGCCTTCTAACAAGCCAATCAAATTTGAGTATTCTTAATAGATGTATGATAAAACAATTTCTTAAACTTTAAAAATTTATAAATTTAATGTTCAATGTTTAGCTATAGTGAAGTTATATTTCAGTTTTTTGTACAATGTTATGTAACGTGTTTATCTGAGCACACATTAGACAATCAGGGTTCTTTATAAGGGATATATAATTTTCCTTGTACTTTGTCTGAGTTAAATGATTTGATAATAATTTTCCTATTACTCTTCCTGATTATAATTACTCTGTATATAGTTAGGAGTCAATATATATCAGAGTTTTACTGGGTGCTACAGTATGTTTAAAGGACTAAATGTGACTGGGTAACCCGTCACCGCGTATTCTTGGTATAAGGGTTCCTATTAATATAGTGAATCAGGCGCCTTGATCTACTTCCTGGCCCCAAAACTAATTCCACAAATACAACTACCGCTGGTGAGCTTATTCAAATTCCTACCCTAGCATTACTTCGTCGACTATTATGTCTACTTTTTGCCTTCTAACCGCACTCTGCAGACTTCACAGCAATTCTGCCTCAGCTGCCAGCTGCTCTGACTTATACACCCTTTGGGCAGTTCATTTCCAAGGAATATCAGATTATTCCATTTTCATGGGTGTGTTCTATTACGTTTCACTTATTAGTAATTTTATTTTAATAACTGGGACCTAAGGGTGTCTTTGTAAAACATAAAATTTATTTATGTCTAACCTACAACTAGGTCACAGAATTAGAATCTTGACAGAACTTGAAATAATTCCACAGTCTACAGACTTTGCTTGCTGACATTGGCTGGTACATGTACGAGGAAAGAAGAATTCAACATTTCTATAATGTTTTGTACTTCTTTAACAGAATGTTGATTTCAAGAAGGTATACGTTCTGTTTTCGTGCCAGGTCTGCTACGTTGACAGAGTGAGTGAACATATATTTGTCAAAAGAAAAAGTAAAGTATGTCACTCGTCAGCTTTTAAGAAAATTTCGGTCAGAACCTTTTATTTCAAAACTATTCATAACATTTCAATTTTTATAACATATTTGAAATAAAAAATGCAAATAATACAATGTTCAATTAAAAAAATGCTCACAAAGTCATAAAGAAACAAGATTTATGGGGGAATTTTTCTTGTTGTGGAAGGATATTAAGAAGAATATTCTTCAAATCTACGCATTTGTTACATGTACACTTAATATCGTGGAACTTTAGACCCACATATTTTAACTCAGAAAATATGTTCCCTTATTATATGCTAGGAATTGTATATTTTTAAAACAAATTCTACACATTCACTCAACAGACATTGCCAAAAAATGAAAATGTATAAAAGAAGTCTAGATAAAAGGATGACCGCACTTAAGGACATGCGAAATTTGCGACAAAATAAACTTTCTACACAAGCATTTTTCTTTTCATTGCAAAAATGGTCAACATCCAGTCTACAACTTTATGTAATTACGTTTAATAAATGTGTGTATTTACGAAGTTCGAATCTGTTTTCAAAGGCAGGGATCATCACAATTTCATGAATCTCCGTTCGATTATGAGGACGCCCACTTTTTTACTGACTTTATACATAGTCAGCGCATGTTTGTCTATTGTTCTACGTTCATCAGTAGTTGTATATTTGCAGAATTAATAATATGTCAAAAGGAGATTAATAGACAAACATGCGCTTATGGTTAAAAAAAAAAAACTGCTTCTTCTTATATTCGCTCTCTGTGTTGTAACCAAGGATTGTAACATGTTGAATATTATAATTCACCACGAGATTTCTTGCCTCAGGTAACTTTGTGAATACTTAATTCCGTCACGTGACTTGTAAGTTAGCATGTTTTGTGCTAACTAGGATATTGTGTTCGAACCCTTTAAGTCATCTGGCATTGATATTAAATCTGCTTTAATTACATATTGTTAATTTCGTTTTGAAACCTTTATCAAAAGTGTATTTGTGCCGTACAGAATAGAGAGGGAGATTGGAGAGTTATCACGTTCTTTTTTTCAAATATGTCATTGTTATTTATCAATTGTAATATTAGACCATTCTTACAATGTTAGCTCCACCTCTCTTGCATATCTAATGTTCAATCAAGGGCAGGTAAGTGTAAATTCACTATATTTCGCAGTAAGGGCAAAAAACATTGAATCATTTTATTGTATCACAGTCTAAAATCATTATAAGATTTAAATTTGGTTCCAAATTGACAGGATTCTTTCATAAGCATACAAAAGTGAAATAAGGTTTAGATGTAAAAGCAACAGAGGCAACCGAAAAAGACCCCCAGAACAGGCATTAAGTGCAGTCATCCTTTACATTTTTTTTTTTTTTTTTTTTTTTTTTTTCTTTTGTCTGAAAATCGAGTATTTTGACCAGTATCTTAAAATTTACATCACAGACACCAGTCATTAAAAGTTTGATACAAGAAAATATTTTGTTGCCTTTTTTAAATTTTTAATACCCCGATTATGACATTTTTTTAATGCAATAAGGTCAAGCAATAATTTATGCGTATTAATTTGTATGATATGTTCAATGATACATATCTCAGATTATTTTACGTAAAATAAGATTATATTTATTGTCATAATTAAATAAATATGATAATGATTAATCAAAGAGTCACAATTTAAGTGCAAAAAGGTCAAATTAAATGCACCGTTGCACAGTACGATGCACACTGGCCCTCGATTTCCTTTACGATTTTGAATTATGCAATAGGAAAACCTATCTAAAATATACTTCTCAAAAATCCTTGATATAACTAATTTCATGAGTGACATACCTTAAGTCTGTCTTGGGGCCTAGATTCGATGGAACATGACCTTGTTTCTATGAAATTATTACAGAAATAAAGTGGACTAACGCTCATAATTAACAATTTCTCTTACTTTTTCTTTCATAGATAAAAGGATGGCTTCATTAAATTTAAGACAAGGACAACATTACTTAGAATGTGATATTTGTAAAAGTCCTGTCGTCTTCACGTGCAAAAAATGTGTCGTTAAATTATGCAGCGTATGTGTAGGACCTCACATGCTTATCAAATCCGAAAATGGTCATGATGTTACAAAATACAATAAACAAAGCAAACTCGAAGGTGGAGAATGCAAGAACCACCCCAAGCAACACTGTAGCGCCTTCTGCAATAATTGTGATATTCCTATCTGTGTTTTATGTGTATTGAACAAGCACAAGACACATGATATTATCGAATTATCCGAGAAAGTCGACAAATTATCCGATTTCATCACGAAAGAAAATAAGCGACTACAGTCGGTGCAATCAGAATTGGAAAGAATATTGGAACATATAGGTAAAAGATCGGCAGCACTTCGACGTGTTTACAAACAGAAAAAAGATAAGGTTTCATCACATGCCAAAAACTGGCATAAGGAGATTGATAAAGCAGAAAAGGCATTGCAGAAGGACCTTGATGAATTGCAAGAAAAGCATGCAAGTGTATTACTGAAGCAGAAAAAAGAATTTGAAGAAATACTAAAGAAATTGAAAAATCTTAAACAATCAGTCGTTAGCTTAGTAAAGTCCAAAGATGTCTCTGGTTTAATGGAACTTAAGCTTGATATTGAGAATCAACAGCTGCCCAGCTTTATAGAAGAAACACGGCCGGCATTCTTCCAGCCTTGCAAGTTTAATGAAAGTTATACAACATCGTACTTCGGTTACATAGAGACACTAGAATCGTGCAAACTGACAATTGACGATCTAACACAACAAGATCAAATCTCTTCACCACTACAAGCTCTAGATATACCTACAGTTCTGTCTATCTTTGATACAGCGTTCCCTGCCAACAAAGAAAACAACAACAGGCTGTATGACATAGTTCCCCTTGGTCATGACAGAGTTTGGGCAGGAGGAAACAGTAATGAGCTCAATCTTTTTGATCTCAAGGGCAGTCTCCACGACACTGTCACTATCACGTGTTTCGGTATGTACCTAACCCTTCATGGTGGACACGTGGTGTACTCTGATACAAATGATAAAACCGTAAAGAAGATTATAGACGGTAAGGCGAATACGTTATTCTGTACCGGGGAGTGGGAACCTTACGGTGTCACCTGTACCGCGGCACAGGATTTCCTGGTCTGTCTCCGGACGACAGATCAAGCAGAGTCTAAGGTCGTTAGGTACAGAAGTTCCGGTGACGTGCTGCAGGAAATCCAGTACGACTCCCAGTACCAGCCCCTGTTTAAGTATACTGTTTACGTGGTGGAGAATGGTAACAGCGACATTTGTGTAGCTGACTACGATAAAAAAGCCGTCACAGTCGTTGACAAGTTTGGAATATTCAGGTTCTCCTATATAGGGAACAAAACATACAAGGAAAACTTCATACCTACCTCCCTAACTACAGACAGCTTGCATCACATCATCATCACTGACTATTTTAACGACAAAATTCACATGCTGGACAGGGATGGTCGATTCCTGAGGTATATTATTCCTTATCAGGGAATACGGGATCCGCGCGCCGTGTGTGTCGTAAGGGAGGGGGAGTTGATAGTGGGGGAAAGCATAACAGGAATTATCGAGAGAATAAAGTACTTACAATAAGTAGGAAGTCTGATGACAATAAATCTACTTGAAGTGTGATACGAGTTCTATATTCCATTACTAGTACCTTAAAGCTGAACATGATTCGTAAAAGGAAGAGAGTTACCTTTGCCTGCCATATTAGATTTATCAAGACCGTCGATCTCAAGCCACTATATAAGCCTCCGCTTTGTACAAAGTTCAATGTATTTTGCTTCACAAACTAAACCAGAAAGGATTTCTCCTTCATTGTCATTGTATTACACTTGGGGGCGACAAAAATGACTTCTGTTTGATACTGCCAAAAAAGTTACCAAATATATTTGATATCAAATGCACAGATCAATTTGAAAAAGGGAAATACAATGTAAACACAAATGCACGTTCCATGAAATAAAATGTAAACAAAGAGGACAATGTAAAAGACATACATGTACTACTCGTAGCACAAGGTAAAAGCAATTAAGTGTAACAAATTCGAAGGGTTTATATACCCCAGTGCTGACATAATGATAGGAAAATTAAAGTGGCGTATGCCTATTTACGAGTCATGTTCAGCTTTAATGAATTGAAAATAACAGATATCGACGTAGCAGTTATCTAAACATTCTGATTTGGTCTTTCCACCTTTCTTTGGAAAAACCTATTGATATTCTTCTTTTTTATTATTATTAGGTCTTTCCACGTTTCTGTGGAAAGACCTATTCAAATGTTTATATTTATTACAGAAAGGTGGAAAGACCTACTAGTATTGGTTTTCTTCTGTTTTCAGGTCTTTCCATAGAACCTTTGGTTTTCTTCTGTTTTTTACTAACCTTTCTGTATAAAGACCTATTGAATTTTTTTCTGTTTATTATTATTTATCCTCCACTGAATTTTTGTTTTGGGGATTATCGAATTTTTTTTTGGCCTTTTAAAGGTCATTAAAAATTATGAAATTATGAAGAGTTTTGACGCATTAACTATGAACTTTGACCCCCTTTCAGAGTTCTTGCCCCTTGCACGAAAAACCTTGTTATTGCTACTCCTTCGAATCCGTAGAAGGTAGAGAAACAAAACCTTCACCGATGTCTTCAAGTACTTGAGAGAACTTTTTAATCTATTCATTGCGAAATGATTCGTCAAACCCTTTAATGAGTATTGCCCTTAAAAGTTATTGTTAAAAAAAATTAAAACGATTAATCGTAAAGACATGGAACCAACTGCATTGCAGTTTTCATATTTTGACCTTTAATTTTGTTCAAGGTCACTCTTAATTTAAGAAATTATGCTCTTTTTTATGTCTTTTGTCTTACAACATATAATTTATGCCAATTGCACGTATAATATGTCCATTTTAAACTAATTTTCAAAATTCTCTTCTCCCCTAAACCTGACCTGTTTAAAAGTTATTGCTCCTTGTGCGAAAAAAGTTTTTATCGATTCTCCTCTGAAACCGTAATCGTACTCTTAGAGTTACCAAACCTTCATAAGTGTGTTCAACTGTGTAGACTTTTCAATCTATTCATTGCAAACGGATTCATCAACCCCTTGAAATAGTTATCCTCGAACGTTTTTGATGTTGACGAATAATTTAAAAAATTTCAAAACGGCAAGTCATCTAGACATCGGAAGAACTGCATTAGATTCTTTAACATTACATGTTGAAATTAAGGTCAACGGTCAAGGTAATTCAGAATATTTGAAATAAAGCTTTTCATATTTCTTTTTTCATTTTATATACAATATATATCTTTTAACCTTTAATGTCCTTTTAAATCTATTTTTTAAGATTTCATTCTTGTCACATAAGATTCATACATTCAAAAGTTATTGATATATATCGTTTGATTGTATGTTGTTTTACGTCCCATTCGAGAATTTTTCACTCATATAGAGACGTCACCATATACCGGTGAAGGGCTTCAAATTTTGACCTTTACTCGGCACGCAGGGCCATTGAGCAGTGAGGGATCTTTATCGTGCCAACGCCTACCGTGACACGGGGCCTCGGTTTTTAAGGTCTCATCCGAAGGACCCGCAGTTTTCTCTTCAAAGTGCCGAGAGCATGGCGAAGGAAAAGTTGCTACCCATTTTTTTATCGACTTAGGTTAGTCGCGGCCGAAATTCGAACTCACGACCTCCCAATCACGAAGCGACTGAGCTACCGTGAACGGTAAGAGTATCATTATATTGAAACTTAAGGATACACAAAGGAAACGCAGCCTAATTTATACGGGACATTTTTTGCTGTGACATGACACAAATATAAGAATTCCCTCTCATAAAATGCAAATGTAGACTGTATAAAAGTATCAGACTACATCAAAACTTACCACTGCATCCAATTTATTCATTAGTTATTTATCACTAGGTAAAGTTAAAAAATTATTTATCTTTATACAGAGTGTTATTTACATGTACTTTATAGATCATTTGTTCCAATGATTAACCTCTGATTAATGTCATTATATAAATAAATTATTAGCGAGAGAGTATATTGGGTCTATTTTTCCGTGTTTTATACACTGGAATAGTATGTTTGACGTGGAGGAGCTTCCTTTTATCGCCCTTTCGGAAGAGCATACAAGATAAATTTTGTTGTTTTTTTTTTCGTGAAATGTGAACGTATTTTAAGAAACATCAAATTCATTGTAAAAGACACACATATTTCAGCTCGCGATACAATACTGGAATTTGAACTAATTACATGTAAATGCAAATTCTATTTAAAGCAGTAACACTTTCCAGAAACATTAAGATACACAGAATGAAATATGGAGATAACGAACAGTATTCAAGCTCAAAGTCCATTCAAACAATACGCGGCTATGTTAAGGCTGTCCGAAGGCTTAATATGCATAAGAAATTCGCTATTATATTTTGAGCTAGATTTTGATTTCAATTTATAATCTATATATATACGTGCAGTCAATTTGTGAAGAGAGTTTAATAAGGTATTGTGAAAAAGCAAATTTTTGATGTCACATGACTGTTTGATCACGTGACGGACACTTATAAATTTTCTTGATTGTTGCACAACAATCCCATCGGCACAAGTGAAAAACAAAATTATTGAAAACAGTTTGTTACATAAGTCAATTAAATTGGGTATAAATAAAGTGCTGGGCACAAGTCTGAGTTTTACTTCTTAAAAAAATATTTCACGAGAAATTCAACTTACCCGCATACAAGAGGGCATTTTCCACTCTTCATCGCAATTTGCACAAAATAGGATAAATTACATACGATCCCCCAGTAAAGTTCAGTTAGAAGACACACTTCTCTAGTAGATTCACATAGATCATCTTCAGTTTATCTTTATCAATCACTTAAGCCAGTCTAATATATGCATGGTTTATAAAATCTTACTGTCTACAGATGTGTAAGGGGGGGGGCGTTTCATATTCATTTTTTTGTACATTATTGTTTGAATAAGTACATTATCAGAAAGAGAAAAGAATAAAGATATTGTATTGCAAATAAATCACCATCATAACAACACATAGAAACTTTAACCAACAATTCAGACACTTGATTTAAACATCAACGTCGAAATAAAATCAACATGTCATGGGAAGGAATGTAAAAGTTATGACACTTTCCCTGTCATGACTGTTCAAGTTTGCAGTGACTTGACGTCATATTTTATAATGACGTCATATCTTGGTAGTTCAGAGAAGTAATAACGGCTGGTACTATACAATTATGGACTCTTTCGATGGTGAATATGGTTTGTTATTCACCAGAAAAATATCAATATTGACCTCGGCTTCGCCTCGGTCAATATTGATATTTTTCTGGTGAATAACAAACCATATTCACCATCGAAAGAGTCCATAATTGTTTTATTATATAGTCAGGATTTAATGAATAAGACATTGAAGGTCGCCTGACGATTCCATTTTCATTAACGAACTTCTGTCGTAGAAAAATAAAAAATGTCCAGATTACAACCTATAACCTCCGTGTGTTCTTTTTGATGTGCGTAAGACATCGAAATGGTAAGAAAATAATCCTGCGATAGACTTGCGAAACAATTTTTCCTGCTCATATATTCAGCTAGCTCCGACCGTTGCAACCATTGTTTTCAACGTTGTTTGGGGTATTGATTGTGACGTCACAATGCCACTGCACGCGCACTGACCCACCGGTGAATACGGCTTCAAATCCGGTGAATATGTAGTGTTATGAACTGTTTGCGTTTGTATAGATTATATAGGGGCTATTTATAGACTATATAATAAACTGTGGTATTCATTGGACAACCTAGCCGCGTACAAATCCGAAGCAGAGCAAAAACGGACCTCCAAAAACATCAGAAGTGGGATCAGGTGCCATGGAGTAGTGAGAATCTCCTGTCGACCGGTCACACCCGCCGTGTGCTCCTTGTCATAATCAGGAATAACGGAAAAATCCGTCGACGATTCAGTGTGTAAATGATGGCCTAACAATTAATATGAATACCATCAGTCAGCATATGACTTAATGATAAATTGTATTTGCTGACAAGGTCATTGTATCGACCATAGAACTTACGAAATGATGACTTTAAACGAGACTGTTGATAATCTTGTTTCATGAACGTGTATATCAATAACTTACCTCGTTTTAGAAATTGTTCATACGTAGACCATGCTCTTGCGTATCGAATCAACTGAGAGATATACAACCCATATCCAGGTGATAAGGGTATATACATAAGTAAGGGAAGTCGACGATTGAAAAGTTAAAGTCATCACGTTTATCATAAAGCTTTGTTGTTAGATTACCATTAACGTCTTTTTCTATCAAAATATCTAAATATGAAACAGATGTGTCAGTCTCTGTGGTATTTTTTTTATTTCAAGTTCACTGGGATATATTCTGTCGACAGAATATCAGCAGTCTCGTTTAAAGTCGTCATTTCGTTAAGTTCTATGGTCGATACAATGACCTAGTCAGCAAGTACAATCTATCATTAAGTCAAATGCTGACTGACTTTTTCATACTAATTGTTAGGCCATTATTTACACACTGAATTGTTGACAGATTTTTTCCGT